CGGTATATTCACACACACTTGTTGATAACTTTTACAAAAGAAAGAGATGTTGATAAAAGATGGATTCAAAAGCCCTTTGAGTTAGAAAGTCCAGAGTCACTGCTGCAGAAACAGAGCTGAAGAAGACCTGATTGTTTGTTCTTTATTGTTTGATGTTTTTCTGAATGAGCTGAATTTATTCACAAACTAGTGAATAGTTCTGAATGGAACATTTAGTTTGTTATATTAGTGAGTGTTTGTTTTGTGTTGTGATTGTTGAGTTTTAAAGTAGACTACACTTCAAAATGTGGAGTTTGGTGAAGGTATGAAATCTAATCAGGTGATCTGTTAGATGCATTTATTCCATTCTTTAAAAGTATTTTTAAAGTGTGCTACGTTGTGATGCATTAGTCTCATCGGCCTATCAGCTGCTACCAAAGATGATGACATTATTAAAGAATCATCTGACCTGTCAGATGATTTATAGGTTAGTCCTATGTTGGATTGGGTCAGTTTGTGAAACACTGATCTAGATAGACTCAAACACACTCCTCCTCCAGGTACAGTGTTCACTCCCTCTCCTCCTCCAGGTACAGTGTTCACTCCATCTCCTCCTCCAGGTACAGTGTTCACTCCATCTCCTCCTCCAGGTACAGTGTTCACTCCCTTTCCTCCTCCAGGTACAGTGTTCACTCCCTATCCTCCTCCAGGTACAGTGTTCACTCCATCTCCTCCTCCAGGTACAGTGTTCACTCCCTCTCCTCCTCCAGGTACAGTGTTCACTCCATCTCCTCCTCCAGGTACAGTGTTCACTCCCTCTCCTCCTCCAGGTACAGTGTTCACTCCCTCTCCTCCTCCAGGTACAGTGTTCACTCCATCTCCTCCAGATACAGTGTTCACTCCCTATCCTCCTCCAGGTACAGTGTTCACTCCATCTCCTCCTCCAGGTACAGTGTTCACTCCATCTCCTCCTCCAGGTACAGTGTTCACTCCCTCTCCTCCTCCAGGTACAGTGTTCACTCCATCTCCTCCTCCAGGTACAGTGTTCACTCCCTCTCCTCCTCCAGATACAGTGTTCACTCTTTTCCTCCTCCAGGTACAGTGTTCACTCCATCTCCTCCTCCAGATACAGTGTTCACTCCATCTCCTCCTCCAGATACAGTGTTCACTCCATCTCCTCCTCCAGGTACAGTGTTCACTCCATCTCCTCCTCCAGGTACAGTGTTCACTCCATCTCCTCCTCCAGGTACAGTGTTCACTCCATCTCCTCCAGGTACAGTGTTCACTCCATCTCCTCCTCCAGGTACAGTGTTCACTCCATCTCCTCCAGGTACAGTGTTCACTCCATCTCCTCCTCCAGGTACAGTGTTCACTCCATCTCCTCCTCCAGGTACAGTGTTCACTCCATCTCCTCCTCCAGGTACAGTGTTCACTCCATCTCCTTTTCCAGGTACAGTGTTCACTCCATCTCCTCCTCCAGGTACAGTGTTCACTCCATCTCCTCCAGGTACAGTGTTCACTCCATCTCCTCCTCCAGGTACAGTGTTCACTCCCTATCCTCCTCCAGGTACAGTGTTCACTCCATCTCCTCCTCCAGGTACAGTGTTCACTCCCTCTCCTCCTCCAGGTACAGTGTTCACTCCATCTCCTCCTCCAGGTACAGTGTTCACTCCATCTCCTTTTCCAGGTACAGTGTTCACTCCATCTCCTCCAGGTACAGTGTTCACTCCATCTCCTCCTCCAGGTACAGTGTTCACTCCATCTCCTCCTCCAGGTACAGTGTTCACTCCATCTCCTTTTCCAGGTACAGTGTTCACTCCATCTCCTCCAGGTACAGTGTTCACTCCCTATCCTCCTCCAGGTACAGTGTTCACTCCATCTCCTCCTCCAGGTACAGTGTTCACTCCATCTCCTCCTCCAGATACAGTGTTCACTCCATCTCCTCCTCCAGGTACAGTGTTCACTCCCTCTCCTCCTCCAGATACAGTGTTCACTCCATCTCCTCCTCCAGGTACAGTGTTCACTCCATCTCCTCCTCCAGGGACAGTGTTCACTCCATCTCCTCCTCCAGGGACAGTGTTCACTCCATCTCCTCCTCCAGGTACAGTGTTCACTCCCTCTCCTCCTCCAGGTACAGTGTTCACTCCATCTCCTCCTCCAGGTACAGTGTTCACTCCATCTCCTTTTCCAGGTACAGTGTTCACTCCATCTCCTCCAGGTACAGTG